AATGTAAATCACTTACTGATAACGGCCAACCCAAACTTTGCAATATTCAAAGATTCTAATAAATAAAAACAATATTTTCTAACCGATCATTATTTGATCTATTATGTAGTTTTGAGTATATAAAGCCAAATGATAACCAGTTTCTTTTACTTGCAGCAGAGGTTGCTGGAATAGAAAGAACTTTAAAAGCAACAGAACTAAGAATCAGATATCTGGCTTTTACTAAATTCCACCAACTTTGAGGGTTTTCTTTTACAGCACCCCATAAATGAGGTCTTGTAAATTCACCTGTTTTACTAATATATTTAGCAAATTCCAATAAAACTTTATCTTCATTTTCTAATCTAGCTAGCTATATAATTTTTTCTTCTATAATATGATCCTATTTTTGCAGATTAAGCTTTTTATCTTGATATCATGGATCTAATTTATATGCAACTAAAATTGCTGGATTAAACAAAAAAACAATCTATCATTTGTGTCCTAATCGTAAAACTTCCTCACAAAAAGTTTTAGAAACTAACTGATTATTATGTATACCTGTTCTTATATCAAGTAACTTAATATATGCTACTGAAAGTAGAGGATTATCTTGTTCTAAAAGGTGAATAAACATTAAAAATAGCTTTAATAAGTCACAGAAATATTTAAAATCTTTCCAAAAGCTGTTATTAATAATTAAAATTTGAATTTGACTATCTATTCTTAAATTATCTTCAGCTAAAATAGATTTTATTGCCAGTTTTGTTCATAAAAAATGATCCATACATTCAAAGGTGGAACCTTATTATGTTTCAATTATTGAAACTAATTCAATTTGTAGTCCATATTTTTCTATTTGAAGACATCGAAAAGCAGCTAAATTAGTTTGATGTGATCTAAAATACAATACGATTTCCTTACATTTTTCCAAAATACTTTTTGCCTATTTAATCTTTAAAATATTTTTAATCTACAAATTAATTGCATGGGCCCAGTATCCTAAAAAGATTTTTGTTAGATATTTATCCTTAAAAATTTTCTATGTTGCCTTCATATTAGGAAAGTTATCAGTAATTATGGTGACGAATTTATCAATTTCTACTTCTGACATAATTTTTTCAATATTTAGTGCTATGTTATTAGCTTGTGTTGTTGTTCTTTTATAGCAATTGATTTGTAAAAAATAGGTTTTGGTGTTGTTACCATATAATTAATAATAGAATCATTATTAATATTAGACCAACCATCAGTAATAAGTGAAAAATACTGCGTTTGGTTAAATAAGTATTGAACTACAATATTTATATTGCTGTATTCTTGATTAAGTAATGTATTAGAAAGTGATTTTTGTGAAGGAAGTTTAAATGATGAACAAGCTTTTAAAAAAAACAATTTTCAATCCTCATTTTCTAAAATATTAAAGGAGGCACCCGATGAATAAAAAGCACAAGCAAATAGACTTTCTAAATTTTTTTGATCAGCTTTAGATAATTTATTTACAAAATTATCTACCATGGTTTGATATTGGTGTTTAAATCTAGGAGAAATTCTATTTTCTTCATTATCTGTTAAGATACAAGAGTTATAATGCTCTTGTAGTCTTGTTTTATTTTTAGCCTAATTTTTCCACATTTACAATATTTATATCTTTCTTTTCCTTTAGAATCTTTAAATATATCGAATGAATCATTATATGCACCTTTATTGCAAGGCATAATTAGCAAAAATAGTGTAGGAAGCAATTTAACTTTGTAGTAAAGCGGCAAATATAGGTATACTCTGTGATAAATATACTTTTTATTTATGCTTAGCTTACTTAAAGAAAGGCTTTTACTCTTTCTAATTAATAGAGCAGAGAAAGATGTAATTTCTTTATTAACACATTTTCACTTTTTTAATAATTCTATTTTTAGAATTATACTTCAACCATTTTACTTATTATTAATGTTTCTGGTTTTTATTAAATAAGTTTTTTTTTTCTATTCCTATTTTAGAAGTTTTCGCTTACTAACAATATTTTTTTTTTTTTCTCAAACATAAACCTTACAACTTATTATTTCAATCTTGCTATTTTGAAACATTGGCATTGTAAATATAATTCTTTTCTAATTTGGTCATATATATTGGTCGCTCGATTGTTTAAATTGTTTGAGATAATTATATATACATGTTTATCTGATTTTGGTTTGATTGCAATTATATATATTGATCAGTTATTGAGCATGTCTGTTAATCATACTATTTAAGATATTACTATTTTTGATAAGCATATTTTTATTTACTGCTTTACTATTTATTACTAATATTAAACTAACACTAATAAAAACAAACAACATTATTTATTTAGTGTTAGTTTCTTTATTAGAATCTTTAGTGTTTTCTGGCATCATAAAGATAAGTAAAACATTATATTTTGGTATTTTTTTTTTTTTTAATTTTAAAAGGTGAAACTATGCCTCTAACTTTATTGAAATTCAATTGAGTTTCTTTACATGAATTATATACAGGAAGAAATTACATTTGAAAGTCATATCCAGTGGATGCTAAGACTAGAGACTCAGATACAATGTTTTAATAACATAACTATTTGCAGCCTAAACCTATTGGTATCTTTTTTTATGCATTTGTATTTTTAATATTTACTAACAGTTTCACTCTTTTTATTAGATTTTCCTATTAATTTTCACATCTGATTGTTTATGCTCTAAAACCTCATTGTTGTACATTTTGATTTATTCTCAATTTGGCATCAATTTTGTTTGGTTGTGAAGCAATTGCATAAATATATTCAGTCTGGTTTGCAAGGTACGATCATCAATTGAGGCACGTTCATTTTTGTTATGAAATTTTTTTGACAAGTCTTAAGACTAGTCTAAACCAGTTTTCATAAATAATTAAAATAACAAATTATAAAATATGATATATAATCTTTTATTTTCAACTGCTATCATCATATGATTTGATTTTCTTTGCTAGCTAACAAATGTTTAGAGGTTTTAAGAATCATTATTGAGATTGAGATTTATTAATTTAGACTGATCTTTTTAGAACTAAATAGACTCAACTTATTCATCCCTAATTTAATATCATAAAAATAATTAATATTATAATATTTATAAAATTTAATAATAGTTTATATA